GCGCCTGCGGGGGCGGCGGCGCCGGCTGTTGCTGCGCTTGCGCCTGCGGCTGCTGCTGCAAAGAAACAAGCGGACAGTCAGAGCTCTGTCTTCTGCCCGCGCGGCGGACAAAGCCGGCTCGGAGGAGGCGACAGGGGGCTGGGAATCCCACCTGGAGCTTCTCCCACCTGGAGCTCCTCCGAGGGGGACAAAGATCCAGGACGCAAAGGGAGGCCAGCCAGACGGCCCACGGCATCAGGGAAAGAAGTCAAAATGGTAAGAACCAGGAAGGGGAGGCACGACCAGGGTTTTGGGTGCGGGGGCGGAGGGGGGGTGCTACTGGGCTTCCTCATCAGAGGTCAGTGGAACCTCCCTACCCTTCATTTTCAGTCTGGCTCAGGGAAGTGAAAGTTCAGCGCGCTGAAAATGTGAGCCGTGGACTTCACCAGGATATGCATCGGAAGGCGAAGACAGCAAAGCAAATTATGATGTAAATAATTAACAAAGATTTAAAATGAAGATTGAGGAGTAAGGATTTCAAAGGCATTTTCGAAAGGAGTGCTACAGACCCCTGGGAGAAAGAAACCTGTGTTTTGCCCCATTTCATCCATGGCTAAAGCATGGAGCAAGAATAGAAAGACTTATTTAAACTCCAAATAAAATGGATAAACGCCTGCTCTTCTTCAGCAGTATCCCTTAAGACTCCAAAGGATTTTTGAGATTCTCACGTTTGTGAATTTCCTACCAGTCAGTTCCGATTTAATACACACACAATTTCTTACCAAATTGCACTAGGCTGACACTGCAAGTTTTTTTCCTTACCGAAAAATAAAAGTTTGATCCACCGTACAACGAACGGCTAGCAAATTGTTTTGTCTATAGTAAACTCATGTGATTAGAATTTAGTGTATACAGACACGTTTTCGTAATTAGTGTCTGTATATGTGCTGTAATTTCCATACACAATTATACGTAACAAATGTGTAACACATGCACATACTGTATACTCTATATCTATAATTCTTATCATCAAAGCAAATCAACCTGAGTAAGCTGCAAAATATTAGAGCGTTTATACTGTGCCTAAGCATTTCCTTTTATTCCCCTAAGAAACAATTTTATTAAAAACAATTTGCATCTTCAAACAAGTACTATTTTTATTACTATACATATACCTGTCTTTTTTTTTTGTTTTTGCTAAACAACAGTAAGTTTTTCAGGCTTTCATGATTATTTTAGTGCTTGATATCCTAAGGGATTCCCTTTTCCAATTTATCTTTAATACACACTCAAGGACTTTTTTTTTTTTCTTAGTGGATGGATAACTCTATCACTGTTTTTAGCTAGATAAATATATACATTCCCCACCCACGCCCACAGCAATACCAAGAAATAATGCAGGTGATTCAACAAAGACAGTAGAATTTTAGGACTCTGGAAGGCAATGGAATTTTCTCTTAAAGGGAAGAGCTAAAAACATCCCCTTAGATTTAACAGAAATAGGTTCTACAGCCCCAGTTCATTCAACACGCTTCCTTAGAAATCAAGGCCATAGGGCACCAACAAACTACCTGGTCCCAGAGCTTTCCAATCTAGCTTCATAGGGGAGGTCCCTCAGCGGACGAATGGAGACAAGTCCCATGACAGAACCCGCTAAGCACAAGGCTGAATCTGCTGGCACAGTGGTCTTCGGCCACCACCATGGTTAGTACGTCCTCTGCAAGTCTGCAAATTCTGACCAAGGGAGCAGGTCTTTACACCACCCCCTCTCTTGCTGGCATAGGTAACTTGTGCCCGCTCACCTGAGGAGCAGCACCGAGCCATGGTGCAGGGGTCAGCAGGCCTGGTAAGAAAACGCCTCTAGACTCTCCTTTCCCAAGGCTGGTGGGAGAGGGGCTCTAAAGGAAAGACAAACAGACATGACTCACCCCTAACCTGTGTTCTGTGAGGGTGTGGGGAGACAGCGACAAGGTGAAGGAAGGGCCAGAAACAAGATTAGTCAGAAACAAGATTCCAATTAGGCTTCCCTCCCCTCCTCTCTTGGGACAGTATCCAAGGTAGAAAGTTCTGATTGTACAAACCTCCTCTACAGAAACGGCAGTATTGGTAGTCATTAAAAAGTAGGTGGTATTTTTTAAATGGATTTTAAAAAAACAAAAACAAAAAACAAAATTTGACCTCTCACACAAAAAACAACCCAATTCTAACAAAGACGCACTTGCCAAACCAGAAGTGTAAAAAAGGGGGGTTCCTGGCATTTTGTGGTTGGGGAAATGAGGGAGAAGGAACACAATACACATGTTGGAAAAAGTGTGCTAATTTTCCTTTTATTCCCAGGAGCAAGATGGCAGTGTATCGTTATCTCTTGCTAATAAAGCCTATGTTTAGACTGGCGGCAAGAAGAGAGACGCTAATTTCCCTGCTAAGTTTAAAGCTCTATTTACTTAGTGCTATATTGAATTGGCCAAGGTAAACGAACCTGAATCTGCTCTGCTGGAACATGGATAATGTGGGGCGGCCTGTCGCCATGGTGATGCACCGCGTTGCTCTCCTGTTCATAAATGGCATCACGTTCTGGCTGAGGAAGACTGAGGAACCTTCGGATCATGGAGAGGTTCTCCCACAGAGTCCTGTTTTCTGGAGAAGGATCTTCTTTCCAGCGTAACAGCTCACACAACCACCCCTTAGAGACAAGGGCATAATAGGTCAGTTATGCCTGTGGGGAGCTGATATTTTCCATTAAGAGCTAAAAAGAAAAGACCCTGTGAAGTTAACTTTTTTTTATATGCTCAAAAACACTCCAATCTGCTTAAAAAATGTTTTTAACCTGTTAAGAGAGAATAGCTGTGGCTGTCAAGGAGGCAGGCTCTGTTTCTAATAAATGTTCAGATTTGCATCTTAAAGGAAGGTCATGTTTTTTATGATTCCAAGGGCAAGACACATTTACCACGGACTTTGCAATATGTGAAATAGGAGAAAAGCAAAGTTGAACGTGCTTCTTGTCTTGCCCAGCTTTCTTGTCAGATGAGCGGCCATGTGAGATCCTGAAGGTATTTAAGAAGAGACAGGACAGATTTTTAAAATAATTTGTTTCCTAAAAGGATTCCCAAAGTTTAGGATTTTTGTATTAGGAAGGAAACTACGTGTAAAAATGCGTGTGTGTGTGCGTGTGTGTGTGAGAGACAGAGAAAAGACACGTGCAGTACAATGAGCAAGAATGCCATCCAGTGTAAAGCATAATGATCAGAATGGGCGTTAGAAGACTTCTCCAAGAAACAACTTCCCAAAAGGACATCTCGGAGCCTGTTTTTTTCTGCTCATTGCAGTGCGTGAAATATGATTCACCAGACAAGAATTTTAATAGATTTCCTGAGCTGAGAGAGAAGGAAATGTCCAATGAATGCCAAAACCTGAACCTCTCTGATGACTCCCTTAAGGCCCCATTTTTGATCCTCAGATTATCAAGAACTGAGTGGTCCAAGAGAGTACATCGTCTAACATTTTCTAATCCTCATGCCAAACGTTCTTCATCTTGGCTGCCATGATGGACATTAGGCAATGGGGTGGAGAGTAAGAGGGAGCCTGTCCCACCCAGACCCCCTTTGCCAAGCAAGGCAACCACCTCCAGCTGCCGTGCTGCCTGCTAAAAGCTCACAGCCATACTCTTCTCTGGAGCAATGTTTGGAGATGACTGGACAATTACTCCACATCCTCACTGACCCCCTCACACCCTGGGGTGGCCAGTGGTTGGCTTACCCCGTGGTACAATGTCCCTGCCCTCTTCCCTCAAAGTAACAACTCACTCAACCCTTCAATCTACTCTCTGGAGATGGCCCTCCCCCCATCAATACAGACTACCTGAGACCATATTCTTACTGGACCCCTTCCTCTTCCCTATCCTCCCTCACTCCTTCCGGGTCCTTCACCAAATCATAGACACCCAATTCCCTGTCTTAGGCTCTGCTTTAGGGACTTGACCTAAGATGAAGGGATTTCTTGGAAATTCCAAGTAAATTAGTTGGATGGGAGTGGAAGGAGCACAGTTTATTATCTGATTTTAGAACTAGCCAAGGAGAGGTTTTTTTTGTGTGTGTGTTGTTGCGATTGTTGTTTGGGGTGAGACCAGAGAATGGTATGACTTTTCTTCCCTTCTTCCCAAACTGAACCACTGGAGAAAATTCTCCTTCCCCTTCCAACTGCAATATACGGTGAAAAGAAATAAGGCCCATTCTTCCCCAGATGGCCTATTTGAGAGAATTTAAAAGAAAAGCTGGAGAGCTGATAACATCAGCTTCCCAAGGCCCACCTACTAACCAGCCAAGGGTGAGTGACTGTTGCTAACCCTCATGAGATCTACTAATTTTTCTGAGACATTTGTTTTTCTACTCAGCAGGTCTTGTAATTAAACAAACACGTACAAGGGGACGGTCATGCAATCATGCACTCATTCAATGCCACTGAATGCGTAATTCAAGGCTAAGAGAGCAGGCAGTAAACTGAAGATTTACCTGAGAGAATATTAGTTTAAAAAAAAATAATAATTGTGATTAGAATGTCACCGAATATGCTTCTTTTCTAACCATGGCAATTCTATGTTTATTTCCAGAAAAATATGATGATGTGTCACATTTTAGCTCTATTTATATGAGTATAATATTAACTCTCGAACTGTATTTGAGTAGTTGAAGTATTTGAGACCCACTTGCATATGATGCCCTGGAGATGTTTATTTAGCTCTTATTGGCAAATATTTGCTATCTGGATTGAGCCATGAAAACATTTTATATTTTCCTACATCTCAGCTATTTCTTTACACTTTACCTCTAAGTTTTGATGCTGTGCAGGTTTTAGATCTACATCTTCCTGTAGGCTTGAATATTAACTATGGTTAAAATGACTCTCCTCCTCCCCTTTGTCTCCATTCTTCAGCTACAGCAATTGACAGGCCCCCATGCCTAAACAGAGCAAATTGCTACAATTCTATTTACCTTTCCAGATGTTAGCAGGTTCATAAAAAACAGAACAGAAAAGTTGTTTTGGGGGGGGGAGTTTTTTTGTACTTAGCTAGTACTGTATACTATTGCAATAGATGCTAAACATCGAATATCTAAGATTTTTTTTAAAGAAATAAACGCTTGTAACTAAAAATTGCTAAAAGTTAAATTAAGAACAATTCACGTGAGAAAAGCTGCTTGAGAGAGCTGAAAAACGCCAATAATTTTTCCAATCCTTTAGAAACTTTTTAAAGTAACAGATCAGTTAGCACTCGGATATATGTGAAAAAACATGTGGATCACAGATGTTCTTTGGAAAAGAAAATCATTAGTTCTTTTAAAATGGCTAATAATGATAGCTAATTCCTAAACAATCACACTCATGCTGGTTTAACAAATATTTCAGAAAAGGAGCCCTGACTCATTCAACAAATATTTTGCTCATATTGTCACTTCTGTGTCTCTATACTTATGAGATGGATCCTTATTTTTATTAATTGCCCATGACTAACATAACATTTCCAGTAGTTTGCTATTAACCTCTGCCCTTAAATAATACTTCTAATTCCTTATCTAAAAATAATTTGATAAATTATAAGTTTGAAGCATGTCTCTGCTAGCCTTTCAAGAGACATGATGATTTTAAGAGACTGAAATCAGATGATGCTTAGAAAAATATTTAACGGTGCAGCTGGGAACTGTTAGTTCTACAAGGGTATTCCAAAAAGAAAAAAAAAAAAATTAAGGGGGGAGTGCTTTTCTTGATGTGTGTATCTCTAAAAAAATAATGGAAAACAGACATTTTGACACGCTAGTTCTTTGTCAGCAGAGACACTGGCTCATTCCCAATTTATGCTGGCAAAAATAAGATCAATTCATTCTAATACTATTTAAATACCTTGGAATATTCTGACTACCTCAAATCCTATCAATTGAGACTCTATTAATGATGACAGTAATCTGATCTATGTTTTGCACAAAGTGACTAAAAAAGCCAAATGCTTTCTAATTCCCCAGTACCTTTTTCTAGGTCACTTTTTCATAAGTGATATTGTTAGAGCAAATAAACTTGGTAAGACAATGAACATGTCAGAATATTGTAATATCTGACAAATAATGATGATTCCCCTAAGTACTGTATTGGTTTTTAAATGATAAATGTATAGATTTACTTGGTAGAGGAGAGACCAGAAATGAAATGCGGTACTTTGTTGCAAAATGTGAACGTAATTACATTTTTAAGAGCGGTCTCTGGGACTTGAAATATTGTAAGACCATAGGCAGGAGTAGTGAGCTGCTTCCCAAATTAAATTAGATCACGACTGTTCTGTACAGTAGAAAAGACAGGAGAGTAACAGCCTTAAAATAATGAGACTGATCCATTCTCAGAAAACTAAAATGGTACAAGGAACAACCTAAACTTTAAATGTAGTAAATTTGCCAAGCAACATTACACTGCATATAAAGAGGGCAAAATATAAACAGTAGCCACATGTAAATAAATTAGTAAAACTTTCAGGATGTTACTACTTTTCAAACTGACGAAGTTTAATTTGACACCTTCTGTTCTAAACCCTTTGTTTCTATTCAAAATCACGCCTTGAGCTGTTGCTATCAATCACAGCGCTCCCCCTATTACTTAAAAAAACTGGCATGAACCCTGAATAAGCTGAAAATGCCATGCAGATGAATTCTGAGATAATATGTTCAAACCTGTTATATACAACACAAATCCTGTAAAGTTATGTATTGTAAACCTACATTTATTGAGAACTAAAAGTCTTAAATCCATCTGCCACAAAGGAAATACTGTTATGTACTTTATAGTAACCAAGAACCATCTGCAAATGTCTTGCTACCGTAAGCAAGAAAATGGTGCAGAAGATGCTAAACCTAAGACTGCATGAAATAAATAACATTCGTTTGACTGGTTTTGGTGAGGGATCTATTTAAAAAAAAAAAAAGTAAGATCAGGGGGGGAAAAAGGAAAGAGAGAAAATGCAGAATGACTGCCAAACCAGTACTGAAAAAAAGCAAAACAAACTCAATGACAACACAATGGCGATTTATTATGGTCCATGAAACACATGACTGTATGCTCATTTTAAAGGAAAAATTAGCAGTTCTAAACTCAATATTCTAATGATGTGCTTTACTGACAGAATCTTGTTGTACCACATTTAAATAAAAATCCTGGCACCTTCATCTCTCAGCTGCTAATTTCCAACCAAACTCAATCCTTGATTTCCACTCCACTCTTTTTAGAACAATTAATTCAAGTCAATTCACTTTGAACATTTTAACAGAGAAGGGGTGTGCAATGATTTTAATTGAGGCAGAGAAGTAACCTCCTTTCGTGAATGAATTTATTGTACCTCTACAGCCTCACGCATGTAAAAAGGAGAACCCTTCCAAGAGCCCGTTCTGTGACAAAGCTGGGAGCATGTTACACAGCTAGCTTTCCAGGGGAAAAGAGGCTTCAGTATTCGCTGAGAAAAAAAAACTCATTTCAAACAGTGCGTACCATATACAGATATGTATCTCTTACTGTTATGTACATATACATTTTAAACCCAAGAGCTATAAAAAAAAAAAAAAGAGAGAAAGAAAATGACAATTCTTGCTGCAACGAAGAAGGAAAAATGCATTTTAAGAAACGGAAGGATAATTTGAGTTCTAAAAAGCAAAA